AAAGTAGTTAAAATTTATTAATTTTTTTGTTGTTATTCAGAGAGAATATAAGCATAACAAGAAAATCTCTATCCGGCCCGGGGGCAGGCATGATGAGAAAATCTTTACCGGGCCCGGGGGCAGACATGATAGACATATCTCAAGAAATTATGAAAGCGGTACAAGGTATTAAAGATGGGTTGTTAAAGATAAAGGATGCCAACGATGGTAACAATTAATGATAATTGATCTAGGGAAGTGTTGCTATAATATCTTAAATTTTTTGTGCATCATGACTCAGATATGAAGTTGATTGAAACGGTGGTAACCACGATGTCCTCACCAGATTTGATCAGAATTCGGGAAGAAACGGAGAAGGCAAAGATAAAGGTGACGCGTCAAAAAATATTATATATAAAGCCCATTTATGCGAATTTCCAAGGGGAGGGGCGTATGATACGCGGAGAAAATTAAATGATAATTTTTTTTGACGTACACTATATTGATTTATTTTTTTTTGTATAATATTTAAAGCTCGCGAAATCAAAATCGGCGCTTAAGTTGCTCAATGAAAGTTCAGAGTCGGAGGACAAAATACCTAAGAAGAAGGGTAAAATATAAATTTATCCAAATTAACAAACAAACTCAACATTCACCACCCCCGCCCTCAAAGGAAGAAACGATATTATTAATAATATTACGTCTAATCAATCTATTTTTTTAAATTATTATTTTCTATGATTTATACTTATTTTTTTTAAAATTTTATCAGAGTCCAAAAAAAGGGTAAGGACCAAAAAGCGAAAAAAGAAACTTGACGACTCATCAAAGGCTTCGACGAGTGACGTAACGAGTGAGGGGACTAGTGAGGGGACAACCACAAATGAGACAGGAGTGTCAAGCAGTGAAGCAACGAGCGCAGAGGAACACGTTGAACATAAAAAATCTAAAGATAAAGGAGCTCCCAAGGTTAGTAAACATGGTGAGAAGTCGAAATCTAAATCTAAATCGAAAGGTAAACGTAAAGGAAAAAAATCTGAGTCTAGCCACGGAACATCCAAAAAGAAAGAGAAAGACGGGAAAAAAGTCGATAAAGCGAAAGATAAGAAGAAGACTAAGTCTATAGAAAAGGATACGAAAGAGCCAGCCAAAAAAGCGGGTACGCCACCTAAAGATGGATTGAAGCCAAATCCTACACCCAGTCCTGTTCCTGTTACGCCCTCGCAACCCACTCCAATTATGCGAAGCCCGACGAATGATCCTCAAAGATTTCCTAGAGGAATAAGTCCCCCTGGAAATTCTGCGTCCCCTAGAGGAAATCAACCATCAAATCCCAGAATCCCCACACCATCTCCTCTTCCAATGGGTGCCAGAATACCTCCTTCCCCAAGACCTCCGCAAATACGACCGGCTATGCAACAGCAATCACCACCTATGCAACAGCATTCACCACCTATGCAACAGCAATCGCCACCTATGCCCGGTGGTGCTAGAACCCCGACTCCTCTAGGGCCTCCCAGAAGTTTAAAAGATCTTTATATCAATTATTTTTAGTTACAAATTAATCACTAAAAACAAGCATTGGGGAAAAAAAGGCATTTTTTAAAAGTGAAAAACCAACCCCACTAACCTATGATTATAGTATAATATACTCTATGAATACTAAATAATATGTTTGAGGATACCCATAATCTTTTAATATTTAAGTTGAATAAAATATTTATTATGTAACGTGTTTATGTTTTATATAATAAAAATTTATTCATATTTTCGTTATACCTATAAATTTGTCTTTTTTAGTCAATGTATATAGTAATTGTTAGTTTTTTTTTAAAGAATAAATTTAATAAACATATATCAGCGCCACCTTTTCAACAAAGACCTCAAATGCAACCACCTAGAGCTCCCCCTCTACCCATGGCAAGACCAAATCTACCGCCACAAAGATCTCCGTTTCCTTCCCCGATGCCAGCTGGAGTCAGGAGTAGATGACGTATTCTAAATATACATTAGTGTGACCAATTTATTTTTTGAAAAAGTTTTTATCATGAATGCTAATTTGGTTTTGAATTTTATTTTTTTTTACAAAATGGTTAGAATCTTGATAATTTATATAATATAAAAATGTTTATTAATGTTATATTGGTAATAACTGATAATTATAAATAAATGAATATTTTATTATTATTCCTAGCATGAAATTCATATAAATGTGATAAAAACAAACTCACGTAATTGATTGATTTCCATAAATTAAAACGGTTACATTAAAATTTTAGCCAAAATAACATTACGTTAGCTTGGAGATTTTTGCTCATATGTGGCAGAAAGGTTTAGAAATATCTATTTGCCAAATGTCAAAGCTTACGATATATCATCAGTAACATCCTAATCAGGTGGGCAGTTTAGCAACACTGTCTTCGGCTGAATTAGCATACTGTTTGTTCTTATATCCACCCCTTTTTTTTGCAAAATGCTTCATAATTTGAAAGATTAATAATTTAATTTTGTAAAATAAGAGGAAAAAAAAATTTTTTTTTTAAATGTTCTCCCATATGATTTTAAATAAAATCGATATTTGAACATTATCGATACTCAGCCGATAATATATAGAATTGTATCGAAGTTAGTTGTGATAAGGAAAATTACCTAAAAACAGGAATGGACAAATTTAGGGTGGGTCTAAAGTCAAAATTTTATCTTAAAAAAAAATTAATTTATTATCGAAAATTTACGAAATCCAATTTAAACGGGTAATGATGTATATATTTCAAGAATTCTTATTTTTTTTTGACTTTGGAGGTGCTCTCACTCAAAAATATTAACTGTTTCTGCTAACTTTAGAGAAGAAAGTTCCAAATGAGTAACTTTACGGAAAAAGAAATGTAACTGTTAAAGTATCTTAAAAGTCTTTCTTTTAAACCAATTATCAAAATTATCATTTTCAGTGAATCTCATCTTATCAATCTTCCTTTTTTTTGTATCAGACATTCTAAAAGATGCCATATTTTGATTGAATCGAAGTGATTTACAGAAAAAAATTAAATTTAGAATAATTTTAATGGTAACGCTATTAATTCATAAAGGTGTATGATTTAATTGTTATGTTAAAAAGGCGTTTAGCTATGTTTTATTTGCTAGCAGAAATTAAATCTTTTGTTATTTTTTAAAATTGATAAATGCTGTTTTAAATTAAAAATGCTATTAAATTTTTTTTTTAAAAAAAAGGGTGTTAAATATAATTATATTTTCATAAAAAATTTATATATTATAGGTGTTTGATTGTTTAAAAATACCGATTTGGGTCCATTTTTCTTGAGATTTAGCAAATAGATCTCCAAACCTTTTTTTGCCATAGTCGAGCGAAATCTATAGGCTTACATCAGAGTCTTAATCGGTCAGTTTATAAAAAATCGACCCGGATTGAATTTTTTTAGCAACACTAATGGTTATTGGGCAAATTATCCTCAGAACTCAAACAGGCTTTTATTATTTGACAATAGTCCATTTGCGTGAAAAAAAGATATCATATTTGCCACGGAGGAGTCATTATATGAATAGAAATCTTATTATGTCACCTAAAAATTTCTCCTCAAGTATTTGTCATTAGAGTTAAAGGTGGGCGCGAGCCATGAAGTTACACGTGACACGATGGGTCACGTGGCATGAGTGTGAATAAATTTTAAATTATTAGGCATGGCTGATCGTGACTGGTCTTCCCAAAATTTTTGCCGGGGGCGATTGGGCGTGAACATAAATTTCCCGTAAATCAAATTTAAATATAAATTAAAATTTTATAATTTTTAATTTAATTCTTTTATTAAAGGGAATAATTTTTGAAACCAAAAAAAATTACGCATTTTTATAATTAACAATTCCCCCCCCCCTCCCGTTTTATTTTAAGTTAAATGAAAAAATAATTTAAAGTCTCTCAACTTTGGTTCAGCAATAGAAATTTGGAAATAAATTTAATTTAAATATGTTTTATTTTCACTTATCTTTGTCTAATCATTTGCACTCAAATTATAATCAGTCAAAATTAAAAGAAAAATTACCCATATTAATCTCGTATTCACCTACAAATCTAAAAGATATAACTGATGCAATTGCCTTATACATGCTTCTTTAAAACATAATAAATATAAATGCATTCAAAGATGATGCAAAGGATAAACATGCCATATATTAAATAACATAATGCATTATATCTTTTGCTTTCTTGAAATAGTTTTAAGCAGGGTTGGCAAGTCGGTTAACCGATCGGTCAATAGACAGAAGGAGTATTTGACCTGGTCAAATATGGTCATATACGGTCAAATACTTTAGCTATATTTATTTAATGAATTAAAATGTATTTAAAGCATATTTATCAATCTAATTCATTTACAAATTATTTAAAATATATTTGTATCAAAGAGGCATCCATTTTTATAATTTTATATAAAAAATACAAAATTATTATATTAAAATATTAGAATTTCAATTTTAAATATATAAAGAAAAAGAATTTTTTATCATATATTGGATCTAAATATATAAATTAATATAATAACTTTACTTAAGCATGGTTTGAGAAATTAAATTATGTACAATTATTAAACAAGATTGGCATCGTCAATAAAATGGGGTAGTGAGCAAATATTACGTGATAAGTGAGCAAATATTACGTGATACGTGATATATAGCGCTTATGCCCTCTAGTGTTGAAATGCAACAGAGCTACGCTAGGTTTTCCTCATTTCCATCTTATTGGATCAATTTAATTTGGGTATAAAAGTCAAAATATGAGGAGCCCTCCACACGTTTGTGGGCAAGCCGCACGTACTTGTAGGCGCAATATTTCTAAAAATATTACTTAAACCTCTACAGGCTTATTTAAAAGAGTGGGACAAAAAAAGAGCCTATACCCAAGAACTACAATGAAAGTTAATTACATTATGGTGGGTTGAGGACAATTTTACATTAAAAATCTTTACTATATTAGATCAACTATTAGTAAGGAAATACAAAAGCATACTTACAAGAGGATTTGAGTGTTTGTTGGTATTGGAAATATTTGATAATAATGAGTATAATTTTTGAAATTTATTACGATAGGAATTATAAGATAGGGATTATTGGGTAATGATAGTGAATCTTGAATTTTGAGATGTATTTTTATACATATTAGAGGTAACTTTTCTTGATGCGAAACATCTTTTTAATGGATCTTTTATTATTATTCAGTTTAATGAATTGTTTTATATTCACATTTAGGTCCATTATATCTTTTATTGTTTTATAATACCATAATGTTTTGTATTTCGTGTATTGTTTTCCATTATATGAGTACAGCCATGTAATGGCATCATGGACTAAGTTATTATCAGAGTTTCTTATTATGTGGCCTAAGAACTGAATCCGTCGTTTTTTAAGAGTTATTAGTGTGATTTTCATAAAATAAATTTCAATTTTGTGATCTTCGAATAATTATTGTTCAAATTTTGAGCCAAATAAATCTTCAATAAATTTTTACTCTGAAAAAAAAAAAATCCTTCAATATTATATTTTATTATATTATGATATTATTTTACGTTAAGATTTTATTGATGGTTTTTTATGTCAGCAAATAAGTATATTATAAGAAAGTATTAAATTTTTAATTCTAAAAATTTTACGTAGGAAGAAAGTAAATAAGAAATATATCTGAGCAAATATTAATATGCAAGAAATCTCTGAAAGCAGCTGTTAAAGAAGTTGCATATTAGTCCGAAAAAAATAATAAGTAATAATAAATTAAGATATGTTTTGGACAAAAAAAATTAAAATTTTAAACTATTCATTAACATTTAGCTATCTTATTGACCTTGGCACACGTAAAAAACGTTTAGAAAACACATAATACAATCGTATGATTTTACAATTTACCAACATAAAAAAATATTAAAGATAAGTTTGAAAAAGAAAATTTAAATAAATATGCTCACACTGCACTGCTGATTATTTATTAGATTACTCAATATAAGGGGAGCATCTTACTTGAGTTTGATGAAGCTTATGATATAATACAAAAATTAGTCGTTTCATATAAGTGATATCATAAATTTCAGAAGTAAAAGCGGCTATGTAATAGACTAAATATGTGACTTTCATAAAAAAACAATCAGATTTCAGGCTCAAGTTGCTGGAATGGGCTTTGTACCTTGAATATTAAGAGAAGTGTATAAGAAATCCGATTGAAGATCTCGAAAACCAGAAAATTGATGGGAGTATATTATAACCTAAGATGGATTAAAAAAATGTTGAAGAAATGATAAAATTGAATATAAATTAGAAAAAAGCTCTGCCATGGAGGGCGAAACATCAATTATAGAATTTAGAAAATAATTTAATATACATACATTTTTTACTATTAAATATATAAAATAGAATTAATATTGTTTTAAAAAACATTTATTTGAATTTGACCACATTTGCCCGGTCTTATGCACAACTCAGATTTATATTATTATACGATAAAAGATTGGAATATAGTTTGGATTTTAATCCATTTGTTTTATATCTCTTCTTCTTCTTCATTTTTTTAAAATATATTTGAGAACATTTTGTAAATATTTTTTTTAAAAAAAACTTTCTATAAAAAATCGTAAAGCTCACCTTGCTTGCATTATCTTATTATAAAATCTTTTTTTTTGTTCTCTATAGCTATAATTACATGTAAAACATTAGCCCAGTATGACCATTTGCCGACTCATAATAGATCGCGTCCAATTGAACCTACATTTCTGGCCTTAGATGATAATTTATGGCAAAAAAAATTATATTACAATAAAATTAAATGAGGGTCTGAATTTTTTTTTCTTTATTTGACATCATTTTCCCAATATTTTTTCAAAAAAAAAGATATCAAAAACAAAATAGGAATTATAGAAAAATAAATTAAATATAATTTGGTATTTGTGTGCTATGTGAATACTAGAACTCAATAAACAAATTATATTGGATATTACATATTAAAATGAGAAAAGGGGATTTATAAAAGTTGATTATATGATGGATTATTTAATGTTTAGAATAAAGCAGTGGCGTCGTTAAGAGGGGGGGGGGGCGCAGGGGCTCGAGCCCCCTGAAGCAAATTTTTTTTTAATGGCTCCTTAATAACCCCTTAAACTAAAAATAATTTTTTTTGATTGCCCACTGAATGATTTCTTTTAAAATTCTATTGAGTAATATATAAATTTAATTTTATAATTTAATAATTAATAAGTCTATCTAAATTATTCTTAAAAGAATACTAATTTAATTATTAGATTAGATTAATATTTATAAATTATATTTATACTATGTCAGCTTGCAATCAAATTCTGTGTTAAAAATAGAATATTAATATCACACACTAAATATTAATTTAGCATTATCAGTTGAAGCTTTATTGACTTTTATTATTTAAATTATTATATAACCCTAATTAAATAAATATTAATTGAAAATTAACAAATTTAATATTGTAATTAACCGAGTCCAAAATCACTAATCAACTATATTATTGATATTTAAATTTAATTAACATGCCTCTTCTTAAAATTATTTTCAAGTCCAAATCCAAATAAGTATAAGAGATCTATTTATAAAAAGTAAGTAAACATATAGTTTATAATCCTCTATTAGATATAATTGATTATAAAATATTAGGTTAAATACCACTTTTACAGACTTTAACAGTTATATAATTTACAATTAATATTTTAATAAATTTACTAATAAATGTTTTTGATAATAAATATAAGTAATAAATTGCAAAATATTTAACGCCATCTATTTATTTAAAAATATTTTAAAAAATTTAACATCTTATTATATATCCCAGAATGGATGTAAAGTTAACTTTTCTTCTCTTTTTTACATGTTTTTAGGAAAGCTATTTTTTTCTTATTTGAAAAACAGTTTTGAGTTTAATTTTTAATACTAGTATATTTTTGATATTATTACAAACTACTTCTATTTTAAGATACAATATACCAACTAGAGGTGGTGTGGTGTGACAATAATATATAAAATCTTAATTAATTTCTTTTATCATATCATATCACTCTGTCTTATTTTATAGTTACAAAATATTTCATTTCTAATATGGCATCCCTGCCTTGTAAATAATTTAAGGGTTCAATACATTTGCATAATTTCTTCTAAAGATTTTTAGCGTTTTTGTTTTATCAATTTCTCTATCTTAATAAATTCTGATATAAGTTAAAATAGTGAGTGTTATGGCTATGACTCCAAATTAACCAGCATCTATTATTAGTGGCTATGTAATTTAAGTTTATTATTACAACTGCTGAGAGCATATGATTGCATATTTTATAAGCAATAATAGTCAACTGTGTCGTTGTTTATATATCATTAAAAATGGAAAATAATCTTTTAGAAATTTATTATCACAATTTTTTCTCAATTACTTATCTAGCTTCCATCATGTCATTTAAGAAGAAGCTCTAATCACCATATAGTTTTATGATTTGGATTGGTCGTTTATATTCTCTTATCCAAGAATTGTTGATTTGGTTAGGCCTATAAATTTTTCCTTATTAGTCCATTCTAAAAAAACATTGTCCAAAAATGGTAACAGAGTGTTATATTAGTTTCTTGACCTTTTGTCAATGTAAGTTGGTAAGAATTATATTATTGCATTATGTGGTTTTTAAAAACAATTATCAATTGAGGCATATGTATGAATTAATTAATCTTTTTTTCCACTTGTAATTCTTTAGTCGCAAATTTTTTTTATATCAGCAATCGAAAATATTTTATACTGTAAATAGATTTTGTATTAAAAAATAATATTTTTAGAAATGTCTTGTATTGTTTTAATTATTTTTATGCCAGTTTATTTTGTATGCATCATATAATAAATGACAAAATATGAAATCCAGAATTAGCAAATTTTAAAAAAGTATAATATATCAATATAAAACCCGGCCGAAGGCCGGGCAATAGTGGGCCGAAAGCCCGCAAATGGGAGATATGGGGGGCGTCGCCCCTCCATAAAATTTTTTTAGTTGAGCCCCCTGAGATTGTAAAGGCTAGCGACGCCCCTGAAAATGTGTATCTGATACAAAAATCTATTGATGTTAAAATTATAAATTGTATTGATATATATATATATGAAAAAGAATTCATTGAGGTTTTAATTGTTAATTTTATTGATACTGATAGTCCTTTTAGTTTTATTTTTTGACAAGATTTATGAGAATTTTTAGGTTTCAAAAGAATTCGTTATCCGCATGATGACATAACCTTTTCTACAGCCTTATATTAACTTTTCTACCCCATTTCTTAAAGTTTTCTCACTAAATCTTTTATAAAATTTCTGATCAAAACGGAATACCCCTCAGCTCAATAATATTCTCCTTTTCCAGAGTTCATTCATACTTTATTTTAATATCAATTAAATTAAATAGCGTGATTGTCAATCGATACACAAAAAACATGATTTGTGGACTCTAACAACACTTATTTTATTCTTATTGTTTAAAATATTATTTGTCAAACCTCAAAGAGGGATCATAGTTTGCAAATATCTGAAAAAGATTATTAAGCAAAGCTAAATGACAAAACCAGGCAAATCTTCTCATACAAAAAGCATAAAAACGACGTAAAAGCCATGGAAAATATCTAACAATCTAAGTAGGCTTATAAATGTTAAAAATAAGCATCATTATTTATTTTTGTTAAAGATTTTTTTAAAATTTTAATACTAATGAATTATTTTACCAATTTATTTAAGTTTACAACTAGCATTTATAGAGGACATCCTAACATGGATAAAGATAATTGTGGTAATTAATCATAAATTAAATTCAAATATATACTTAAAATATTAGTGATTAGTTTATCATTTTTTTGAGATTGTGTATTATACCGACAAATAAAATTAGGGTCTATTATTAATTTATTTATTAAGTAAAGAAAGATGTCAAAATAAAAAGAAATAAATTCCTAATTTCATGGTCAAACAAGAAAAAATATGAAATAATGTTTTTAAAGTCGTTTAAATGGACGAGGTAAGCCTAGGGACTCTTTTTTGGACCAGGAAATAAATATATTAAAAAGACATACATCTGATAATATATATAAAGTAATTATATTTCAATTTTATATAATAAATTCCAAAAGATCCGATCAGAAAGGGTGTTATTAACACATTCCAACCAACTTCAAATACAAAATTGAAGGTAATATATTTGTTTTTTTCATATATAATAATATTATACATACATAAGTAAATAGAATATTTAAATATAACACTTTCTTGAAAAATGGATGGTGAGGGAGTGTGATCTATTTATATTTGTTTAATTTTTACTTTACACTTGTCTTCTATGTAAATTATTTGCAATTTAATATAGTATTATAAATTTTATTAAAACAACCTT